ATTTTCCAAGATATCGCAATTCATTAAATGTCATAGTATTAATGATGTATTTCATATAACATATTTGTTCTTTAGGGAAGTTATATATTTGCATGACATTCCTAAGAGTATAATTTTAATTCATGATGTTAAGTTTCATAAACACTTTTAGAAAACTTTATAGGGAACATTAGGTACTAATTTTTTATTTTTAATAACTTATCATTCTCAAACTGATGAAAAAATTAAGGTAATGAATAAGAACCTATCACAACTTTTATGTGTTTTATTCAAAATAATCTAAAAAGTTAGGAGGAATGTTTTCATTTCATTGAATTTTTTTATAATAGAACTATGCATCTAACCACTGATTTTCTCATTTTAAAGCTATTTATAGATTTAATCCACTAACTCTTATGAATTCAATTCATTTACCTATTAAAGAAAGGATAAATTTAGATGGTGAAAATAATAAAAAAAAATGGTGTGACAATTTCATGAGGGTATTCAACTACAAATGAAAACAAGAAAATGTTGCATGCTTCCAAAGAAAACAAAGGTTGTAAGCAAGTTGTTTTCCAACTAGTTGATTGGGTTTGAGTGTACATGTGTAAGAAAACAATTTCCTAACTATAAGAAATCAAAATTACAGCCATATGGTGATGGTCCAATCTAAATTCTAGAGATGATTAATGATAGTGCTTACAAATATGATCTTTTAAGTGATTATGATGTTAGTGCTACCTTTAATGTTGTTAATCTTTGTTGGTTGAAAAAATGTCTTGATTCAAAGTCAAATCCTTTTGAGAAGAGAGGGAACAATGTAGATCAACTCATAAACACCATCAATGATGCATTATATGTTCCAATTAGGTTATTTATATGGTCTAAATAAAAGGCATTAAATGAAGCATTGAATGGACTTGTTTTAGAGATTCCAGCCAAGGCTAATTTATCTAATCCAAGTGCAATAAAGGCCAATCCATATTTAATGTGGGCATCATATATCCTGTCCTATTACAACCTTGTTTGGGAAAGATTTCTAATGTTATAAGGAGTCTAAGTTAGTAAATATTCTCCTATTAATTCAAGAAATATTTTAGCTAGATTTGATTTCTAAGGTAGGAAGGATTATTTAATAATTATTCTAGTCTAGTAGGGAAACAAATAAGGCAACAACAAATGAAGATAGTTATTTATTATTGTTCAAGTATTATAAGGGAACCTATCTCTATAAGGAAACCTAGCTCTACAAGAAAAGTAAAAGGCATCAGAATTAATTCCATATTTAGATAAGATTATCCTCGTCTATTTAGGACATAAAGATACATGAAACGTTTATTTAAGTTATATAACACTTTTTAAGCTAGGAAAATCATACTCATCTCTTTTATTCTCCATGGTTATTTGTATAAACATAAAGAACCATTACTTTAATTTTTATTTTTAAATGTTTTGGGTTTGTTTAATATTATTTGGGTTTATTTTGATTAAGTTTTGCATTTGATTATAAGTGGGCTTCACATCAGCTTACATCTTAGGAATTCTAGACATAAGAGAATGCCGTATAAAATAAGATATGTTGTTTATTCAGTATAAAAGTACTACATATCAAAGTTGGGTTTGTTCCAATATCGTTTGGTCTAGGTTTCAATTCTAGCTAAAATAAGGCAATAAGAAATTAAGGTTTTTATTTATTATTGTTTAAGTATTATAAGGGAACTTATCTCTACAAGAAAACCTAGCTCTATAAGAAAAGTAAAAAGTGTCAGAGTTAATTTCATATTTAGATAAGACTATCCTAGTCTATTTAGGATATAAAGATACATGAAAGGTTTATTTAAGTTATAACACTTTTTAAGTTTGAAAAATTAGACTCATCTCTTTTATTTCTCTTTGGTTATTTGCATAAACATAAAGAATCGTTACTTTAATTTTTATTTTTAAATTTTTTTTGCTTGCTTAATATTATTTGGGTTTATTTCGATTAAGTTTTGGGTCTGATTGTAAGTGGGCTTCATATTAGTTTACATCTTGGGAATTCTAGGTATAAGAGAATGCCTTATAAAATAAGATATGTTGTTTATTCAGCATAAAAGTACTACATATCAAATTTGAGTTTGTTCCATTATCGTTTGGTCTTGGTTTCAATTCTGGTGTTTAAAATTGTGTAACGAGTCATATTTATGTCAAGTTATAAAAACATGTTTCTTACTATTTCTTTTAACCTATTCAATTTATTTCTATTATATTTAGGTGATTTAGGAGTAGTGTTTTCATTAAAAAAAGTTTATGTTTTATTTCAAGTCTCCATATCGTCTATATTTCATATAGATTCGTTTTGCTACTTATAAAATCATAATCTTAGTTTTGTTTTGCTTGTTTTCAGTATCTTATTGATTACTAAGTCACTTTATATATATTTAGATTGCATTACGAATCCATTAACTTTGGTTCGTTGATTTTCAATTTTGAAAGAACCACAATAAGATAAGTTGAGAGGTAAAAAGACACGGTAGGAATAATTAAGTGAAAAGCCTTAAATTGTGTGGAACATAAGAGTTATGAGGTATTTTTTTCTTATTAATAAATTTTAATTGATTCAAATATGTCTAAAAATAATGAGTTCACGACACCAAAAATGGATAAAAACTTTTAGATGCAAGCTTTCACCTAACAATTTGAGTTGCTGACTAGGTTGATGAAGGATCTGGAAGATGAGATGGTTTTAATGAGACAAAAAAAAATAGTTGGACAAATGGATTAAGAATGAGGGCTGATCGGAGAGGAAACACTATTTGAAGGGTCATATAAAATGTTAAAACTAACTTTTTATTTTTTATTTTATGGATGAAAACACAAATCTAGTTTATGATGACTATAACTTTACATTCATGGGTAATAGTGACTGATTTGGGTGGAATTGAAGCTAAAAAAATGTTAGTTTTGGCCAAGGTGAAACATTCATCTAGATAGAGAAGTCTCGTGTCTTTGGGCTTCATGATGATTTAGGTGGAGAATCGAGGTCAATTAATATGAAAATACTTATTTTCTAAGGAAGAATGATCTAGAGACATATCTAGTATAGGAAAAGAATGGATCTTTTACTATAATCATTACACAAAATAGAAAACGGTAAAATTTATTGTTTTTAAGTTTACAGATTATACATTAATATGGTGGGATCAACTTGTTTTGAGTAACAAAAGGAATGAAGAAAGACCTATTGACACATAAGATGACATGAAAGCTATAATAAGAAAACAATTTGTTCCTGATTTTTATTATCAAGAGCTCTTTCAAAAATTGCAAAGTTTGAATAAAAGGTAAAAAAAGAATGAAAGATTACCAAAAGGAGATGGAGATTGCAATTATCAGGATTAATGTGGTTAAAGACAGGGAAATTATTATGACTAGGTTTTTAAATGGGCTAAATAGAAAGATAATTAATATTGTGGAGCTACAACATTATGTGGAGTTAAAAAACATGGTTTATATGGCTATAAAAGTGGAAGGGCAACTTAAAATGAAAGGGAATGTATAATCAACTTACAATATAAGTTCTTCATTATCATGAAAGCCGAACTTTAAGAGAGAGGAGGTTGTCCAACTAAAACCCTTTACCAAAACCAAACCACTCAAAGCCAAAGTTGATATCTTTATAAATTTCAAAGGTAAATTTGATGTTCAACTTAAACATAATCGTGATGCTAAATGTTTCACATATCAAGGGATTGGACATAATGCTTTATAATGTCCAAATAAAAGAATATGGATTATTAGAGAAAATAGAGACATAGATTCTAAAAAGGACAAATCTAATTATGAAGACATGCCACCATTAAAGGATTATATTGGTGAGGAGATTGCATACCCAGTTAAAGATAAGGCCTTGGTTATAAGACATATACTTCAAGTTCAAGTTAAGAAAGATGATATTGATCAGCAAATGAAGAATATCTTTCAAACATTTTATCATATACAAAACAAGGTATGTAGTTTAATAGTTTAATAATAAATAGTGGAAGTTTTGCTAATATAACTAATATTATCCTTGTTAGTAAACTAAACTTGTGCAATATTAAGCATTATAGACTTTATTAATTGTAATGATTGAATGATTGTGGTGAGATAAAAGTGACTAAGCATGTTTTGGTTTTATTTTTTATTGGGAAGTATTTGGATGAGGGTTTGTGTGACGTGGTTTTAGACAAGTCATATCTTGTTGGGGAGACCAAGATAGTTCGATAGGAAAACAACACATGATAAGGTTAAAAATAAGTATGTTATTATAAAAGATGGTAAAAAGTTACTACACTTTAATATGTAATACCCTTCCAATAATTTTTAAAGAGATAGGAGAGAGAAATAAAATAAAAACAAAATCAAATTACTCCAGAGTCACACTGAAGCTCCGATGACGACACCACTAGTATTATAAAAAAGATTTTAACAAGATAAATTTAATGACATCAAATGTCACAAATGGTGAATGAAGTAGGCTATACTAGTCGTCCAAAAATATCGAGTCTCACTTGCCTTTGAGTTGTTTGTGTAACTCATTCCAATCATTATTAATAATTTTTTTTAGTTTTGTTGAATTCATCTCGTTAAAATCTTTTTAATGATATTATCAGAGTTCCAGTGTATTATTAATGTGTTTTTTTTCATTCTTTAATTTTTCTTCTCTCTTTTATTGTTTTTTTGTTATTAAATCTTGTATCAAATAATTTTTTGAGAGAGTCCCATTGATAATTGCAAATGCCATTTATAACCATGTATATTATTTATCTAAATATTTTTTAAATTATGTTACTTTATCAGTTTTTTTACACTATGCTAGAATAATAAAAAAAAAAAACATGAGAAGTGCCCGCCGACTGAACATTAATGACGTATGATTGTAATTAAAGAGCTACTGTGGTCTCCAAGACGATGGCATGTCAGTACTTACCCAAAGAATGGCATTGAATGAACCGTTTGATATACTTGCCTACATTTTCAGAGACTCAAAACTCTGCAACTTATCGATGTAATATAAAAGAGATTGCAGGACTTGCAAGACAACACAATAAATCGAAAAAAGAATTAAAAAAATGCTACTGGTGGCTTTTCTATGCATCACCTTTCTTTGGCTTTCCTTTCGGTGGTGGAGGAATAAAAGCTCTGTGATTATCAATTGGCCCGTGGTTGGAATGTTGCCGGGGCTGTTTCGCAATTCATCTCGAGTCCACGAGTTTGTAACCTATCTGCTTCAACAGCGTGGCGGCACATTTGTTTTCAAAGGGCCTTGGTTTGGTGGTCTTGACTTTCTGGTGACCAGTAATCCGGCGAATGTTCACCACATTTTAAGAAAAAAAGCCTTCAATTATCACAAGGGCCTTGAGTTGAAGGAGATTTTTGCTGAAAGTTTTGGTAATGGAATTTTTTGTGCTGATGGAGATCGGTGGAAAACCCAAAGGAGAACAATTCACTCTTTTATAAAAAATAGCAAGTTTGAGGAAGCTGTAGAGCGAAACATTCAACGAAAAGTCTTGCATGGAATATTTGTAATTCTTGAGCATTTCTCAGAACAAAGAAAAGAAGTAGACATGCAAGATGTGTTGAAGCGATTCATGTTTGACTATAGCTGCCTACTGTTGTTGGGATTTGATCCGAATTCTCTTTCAATTGAATTCCCTCAAGTTCCATACATGCAAGCTTATTATGATATGGAGGAGATTATACTTCAACGACATCTTAAGCCACAAAGGCTTTGGAAGCTACAAAACTGGCTTCAATTTGGGGAAGAGAGGAAGATGAAAAACAGTTCGGAGATCTTCGATCGCTTACTGTACCAGTGCATTTCAAGAAAAAAAGATTTATTAAACAGAAGCAAAATCCAAATGGACAGAGAGGATTTCGACTTCTTGACATTCATGTTAGTTGAAGATAATGATCAAGAAGAAAGGGAAATGAGTGCCTTCAAAAACTCGGAGAAATATGCAAGAGACATGGCGTTTAACCTCTTATCAGCTGGAAGTGAGGCCGTAAGTTCCGGTCTTACTTGGTTTCTTTGGCTTGTGGCAACTCACCCACTGGTAGAAAAGAGTATTTTAGAAGAGATCAAAACAAACTTAAATGCAAAAGGAGATGAGAAGGGGAGGTATTTCAGTTTTGGAGAGCTATCTGAGCTAAATTATCTCCAAGCAGCTATATGCGAGTCCCTCCGACTCTATCCACCCGTACCTTTCGAGCACACAGTTTCGATTGACTCGGACGCTCTTCCAAGCGGGCATCGAATCGGCAAAAATACACGGGTTATTTATTGTCCTTACTCAATGGGAAGGATGGAAGAGATATGGGGTGAAGATTGCCTGGAATTCAAGCCAGAGAGGTGGATTTCAAACACGGGAGAAATCAAACATGTCTCGCCCTACAAGTTCATAGCATTTAATGCAGGGCCAAGAACCTGTATCGGCAAGGACTTGGCCTTGGTGGAAATGAAAGCTGTTGGCGCCGCCGTGATATGGAATTATAGCTTGAAAGTGGTTGAAGATCATCCTATTTTACCAGCTAATGCTATAATCCTTCATATGAAACATGGCTTGATGGTTAGAGTATTGAAGAGATGTCTTTCCTAGAAGAGTTGGAAGGATACCAAACCCAGGCCACAGCCATCCATGTCCCGGAACAGCACTGCCCCTGTTTATTGTATTTTTCTTATCCTTCACTTTGTGAAAATAACTAGTTTGATCTTCCACCCTGTCCAAAGGGTAAAAGTTCAAACTAATTTCGAAAATAATAAAAGAAGGTGTTAATATTATAAATTCCTTTTCAAATTCTTAATTTTTTTTAATTTTTTTTGGAGTTTTTTTTTTTAAACCAAGAACATATGAGTTTTATTGTAAGATGATAAAATTAAAAAGATAACTCATGAAAAAGTATGCAATGAACAATTTATTAAAAAAAAAAACATATAAGAGGGGTGATATTTAAGATTTATTTGTTTTATTGCTGTTTGTTCGCATTGTAGATCCGTGTATTTAGATAGAAGCTCATTGTTTATTGTTAGATAAAATCATCAACCTGAAGATCATTTGATGATCTAAATTTTCAAACTTATTTACGAGACAAAGTAAAAGATTTGATCATGCTATCTCAATAGCTCAACACAAAAATATAATAATTTTTAATTTACTTGTTGAATTAAATTTAAATTTTATCAAATAATTCTACAAATTGGATTTTATATGAGCCTCGGTCCATTGTAAATAGTTGAGCATCATAATATCTTTAAATTAGATTACGATAATAATGATGCTAATTGAGTAAATTTTATTTTTTCTTAACTTTTTCAATTTTTTTATTGATATCAATTTTTATGTTATTTTTTTATTTTTATTTTAGAATTTTAATTTTTCTACCCTATCATATCACAATTATAATTCAAAATAAAACTATAAGTTAGAGTTCTTTGTTTTCAAATTTTATTTGCCAAAAAATATCTTTTTTATTTGCCAAAAACTACAAGTTAGACTTTCTTTTAAAAGAGTAAATGCCAATTTAGTTGAGTTTATTTTGGAATAATAAAAATAAGGCAAATACACAGTGCTATTTGCAGCATTCAATTTAAAATACACTTCTTGTTTGATAGAGCAACATGGAAATAAGGATGAGAAATTGTTTAGTGTTTCTTCTGATGCGAACATGAAATGTAAGAATTCTTCAACTTAATTACAATGAAATTGTAAACAATTTTCGGAAAGATAAAATTAGATTGCAGATAAAAACTAACACGAAAATTATCTAAATTACATAACTAAAAATGGATGAAACTTTAACCCATTAATTATACGAATCAAGAACTAAAAATAGAGGAAGAACACATATAATCAAAATTCCTTGATATGTTCCATAAATTTCATTAAAGCACTAAAAATTGTAGTTTTTTTCATAAAAAAATATTAGTTTATTAATTATTTAACCATCAAAATTTTTAACTCAAATTTAATTTAGATGGTATTTGTTTGTCTGTAAAGTGGTTTTTAATCACTTTTTAAATTTTTTTATTTGTTTATTATTAAAAAAGTTAATTAACAAAAAATACTTTCTAGTTAAAGAAAAATTTGACTTTATTTTCAAGAAAATATTTTTCTTTTCTTTTAGACAGAAAATACTTTTCAGAAGTTGTGAAAAATTTAAAAATATCATATTATTTATTAATTATATCAAATTTGGTCCTCAAACTTTTAATTGATATATATATATATATATATATATATTGTTTGAATTTTTTTTTAATTTTATTCCTTAAAATTTAATTTTTATGTTAATTTTGATCCTCATTTTTATCTATCAAATTTGGTCCTTATTTTTTTATTGTTACTTATTTTATTTAAAATAATTTATGAAATTATAATTATTATTATTATTTTAATTTAAAATTTTTTGAAATATTTTATTTGTTAGATTTGATATTTATTATTTTGATTATTATTTATTTTATTTGAGATAATTTATGAAATTAGATTTTTTTTCAATTTCATTCTCATTCAATTTTTTAATTTGTAAGATCTATTCCTTATTAATTTAATAAACTTGAAAAAAAATATTAATAAGTTATTTTTTAGCTTATTTTTCATAACATAACCAAATACTGAAAATATTTTTCAATTTATTTTTTATAATACTATTAAATATCAAAAAATAATTCACTTTTTAATAAAAAAAAACCTTCAATAATCCCAAAAAAATTAATTAAAAAAAACCTTCAATAATCCCAAAAAAATAATTCTAATAATGTAGGTGGTATGCCGAAGGCCCAAATAAAACTTATATCAATAAGTTATTGAAAATATATACTAGTCCATGCTTTGTCAAAAGATATAAAAAAATAAAGATTCAAACCCATAAATATAAAAAGAAAACTCAGTTGTAACGGTATAGTTGCTGCCCAAACCACCACTTGCATTTAATGGCTCAAACTGATCCAAAATTAGTCCAAACTGAACTGTCCAAGCTGCTAATGTCCAGATCGAAACTAGTCTGGTCCAAACCAACTCTGAACCCATTTAAACAGGCTGGAAAAACAGTAACTCGGAATCCACAATGAAACAGAACCATGCCCAATCCAAACCGAACCAAAAACCCCATAAAAAAGTTGGAATCCTGCGGGTCACTACAAAGCTTGACCCAAACCAAATCTCCCAGAAATTATATTTCGATGTGCGCCTCCGCTGAACATTGTGGAAGCACAATCTAGATCGCATCATCTTCCATTGTGTTTTTAAATTGGCCAATGTCTGGAGTGCCTTTGTATCGATATCTACGGCCTTTAGTGTGGATAAAGAGCTACAGGCCTGGGTGTTTCTTTGTTTGATGGGGATCCTTCTGCTGTCTAGAAAAACTTATGGCCATTGCAGCTCTGAATATTTTTCCCAGCCAGAAATTGCTTGCAGAATGTTATTTAAGTCTGGCAACCAAAACCATGTAGGATTCCGAGCGAGGAATTTAACAGCTTTCCATGTGCTTCATGTTTGACAAGCTGAAGAACATAGAAAAAGAGTGAACCCCTAGGCCAATTTCTTGCATTTGCTTTGTCTTGGAAAAAGATTTCTAGCATCATTTATCTTGACATGTTGGGGGACAATTATTATGCTGTTATGGAAGTGTTAATTTGTATGTTTCCTTGCTGTTGTTTTCTCTATGACAAGCGAAAAGTCGAAATAAATTTTGGATCTGATTGGCTGCTTTAGAGTAAATTCTTCCCATCCATGAAGAAGAGGAAGGAGCCGTCATGGAACTTGCGTTATTAAAATCTTTTTGCTAAAATCCTACCTTTTCAAAGTGCTTATTGCAAGAAAATTATGATTGCAGTTTCTGTGGCCATCTTAGGATTTATTTATGCACATTATTTTATGCTAGATCGGTTGCCCTTCTTCCAAATGTTTGTTAAACAAAATCTTTTAGCTGCTTTAGAGCAGGAAGTGGAACAGTTTATTTGCAAGTCAGTTCTTTGTGAAGCTATTTGCTGTTTATTCTATGGACGATTTTAAGCACTGAAACTAAGAATACTCCTGAATCTCTTCAAGATTAATTCCTTGTATGAAAATTTGACTGTATATTTGTGATAGATTTGCATAGATATCACTTCTGTTTTGGCTCAAATGATGAAATGAGTCTATCAAGCATGGAACCATACACTATAAAAACGCCTAATCTTGTATCATTCTTCCCTGCTAAGCAGAGAGAGAAGAGAAAGATTCAGGTTCCAGTCTTGTCCTTGCCATCTTCAGAATCTACGCAGACGCATTACGTGCTATACGGAATTTGTAATCGAGATTTATAGATTTTTTCTTTCTTTCACGTTTCATAATGTCATATCAAGGGCTTACTTCTTACCTTAGAGCTCTGCTTTGTGTGCATAAATCATATCCTTCCCCTGTTTCTCTTCTTATCACAGCAAATTCCCCTGATCGTCAAGGTTATTATCTATGTATGGTGAACGAGTTTTCTATGTATACTGAAGAGAATTGACCATGGCAGCGTCTTGTTTGGGATAAGTCAGAGGATTTGTGCCAGACTTTGATATAAGCATGAACTAGCAAGAGCCTTTCATTTATGTTATATGCAATTCAGATTGAACACGCTTAATTTGTGTATGTAGACAAACGATAATATAGAAAAACATTTTATAGGCTTCCTTGTATATAAACTTGTTGATAATTCTTAACACAAGTTCGAAACAAATAATTAAACAGCATTATTATTGATTTCTTACACATCCTTGCCTTCCATGCTCAACTAGTGTTTGATTTGTGACAACATGCACCTAACATCCTTACTATTTGGCCTCTGTTTTGGGTCATCAATAGTGCAGAAGCAAGCAATTTTCAGAACCAGCAGCATTTGCTCCTCTAGCCCATTGCCCATCAGCTTTGGATCAATAGCTTGTCTTGGATTCTCCGAAGTCATTATATTTCTCATCCACTTAACCAAACTCATTTCACGAGTGTTTTGAAAAAACTCATCAGATGGAAGCTTTCCCATCACCAATACCCCAAGCACCACTCCAAAACTGTATATGTCACACTTGTCTGTAAATTTGAGCGTTTGGTGGTACTCTGGTGCTATGTACCCCACTGTTCCTGCAACATTAGAAGTTGTGATATGTGTTTTGGCATCTGGCATTGCTTTTGCAAGTCCAAAATCGGCAATTCTAGCTTCCATGCTGTCGTCGAGAAGTACATTTGCAGGCTTGAGATCTCTATGAATGATCCGTGGACTATGGCTCAAGTGAAGGTACTCAAGTCCCGATGCTACTCCTACTGCAATTCTGTGGCGAGCTAACCAGTCCAATTCTCTTCTCCCTTCAGTAACTTGATTCAACGCATCTTGTAGACTTCCGTTTTTCATTAATTCATATACAAGATAATGACAATCAGGACGAGACACATGAGCTAGAAGAGGAAGAAGGTTTCGATGCCGAATGTGGCCGACGGTATTGATCTCTGACTGGATTTGTCTCATTTTCTTGTGTAGAAGCTTACTATCTTCTTCAGTCAACTCGGCAGCATCCTTCGGAGGCTGAATAATCTTTTTTATGGCAATCATTTTGCCGTTACTTCCTGGCAGCTCAGCTTTGTAAACTTCTCCACATCCACCTTTCCCAATGACTTCCAAGTCTGCAAGCCCATCATCTTTTTCCAAGAAAGCTAAATCCTCTGCTCTTTTGATCAATGGACTAAATATTGCAGGCCCTCCATCTCTCCCTCCGCCTTTTACTGCTGCCAATACTATCTTAAACAACAATGAAAACACAAGCCCAGATAAA